AATACCCCTAGAAGAAGTACCAAAAGTATAGTAATGAAAGAACCCTAGTAAAAAGAAGACTAATTAGTAAATGACTAATATAATTAGGAATATCCCTTCAATATTTTTTTTGTTATATTGAAGGAATGATAATGGTTGATATACATGTATATATATATATATATTGACTAATGTAAACTTCAAAATTTCATTGTTGTCAATGGTTAAATATATTTTTTCATAATGCATGCTAAGTTGTGATCATTAACACAATGTACACAGAGAAAATTATATTTGTAAAGAAATTTCTCTGGCTCAAAGTTATCATAATTTCACAGAGAAAATTCTAGTAACAGAGAAATTTATCTCTTAGGGTGCTTATTTGATCATGTAATTTGTAGTGCATTGTGTTGGTACAAAACAATGCACAAAGTAATTTACACTATCCAATTCAAAAAACACAATGTACAAAGTAATTTCCTCTACGGTTGGGAAATTTTTCTTGATGAATTTGACTAGTATTATAAATACACTCCCAAAGTATGTTTTGCATTGATCTAGAAATTACAGAGAAAATTCAAAAAACGTTCAGAGAAAATTACTAAACACAATGCACAACAGATACATTATTTTTGTAATAAGATCCGTACGCATACAAATTTCTCTCTGTTAACCAACATTAAAAAATGCAACATAAATTCCTCTAACATCCTCAAATATATTATTCAATCAACAAAATGTAATGTAAACAATTAAAACAAGTGAATATGCTCAACTATTTAATAAAGGTTCCTTACATGTCCTCTTATTATGGCAACCAATACTCCTACATCGACTACACTTGATCACACTTTTAAACTCTCCAGTAGAAGCAATTATGTTCTTCTTCAGCCTTCCAGCTAGTCTCTTACTCAATAGAGATAAAATCATAGCATCATCAATGGTATAGACAGGTATTTCAACAGTTAGAACAGGGCCAATCGAAAACAAGTATGCTTTACGATACATATCAGTATGAAAAAATGATTCAAGTAATGAATTCAAATTCTTCCCACTTCTAAAAATCGCAGCAATAACATGTTGATATAGATACCCATTTATTTCCCATTTCCGACATGAACAAGTTTTCAAACCTAGATTAACCATAACCTAACGAAATAATGCACTTTAAACACATTATCGGATGATAAACTCACATTCCACGTCCTTCCATCCATGAAATCCTTCTCCAACACACTATCCATATGAGGACAAAAAACTTTATTCCATTTACTAGAAAGTAGCCTCTTATCAGACCTCATATTCATGATTTGCAATTATATCATATCCACCAAATTTGTTAGTGACATGTACCGAGCTTCTCGTATCCATGAATTAAATGACTCAACAACATTTGAATACATTTCGCCATAACGTTTCCCCTCAAAATGTGAATCACTTCAATTTTCATATGGTAAACTTCTCAAGAAAACACTCATAATGTCTCATCCCACACTTTTTAATTCATTTAACTTGAAATGAAACGACGCCTTTGTTGGAGCATATGTACATTCTGAAAACTTGGACACGATCGTCTCCCTAACCAAATTCGTGTTTCTATATAATAAGCTATCCTTCAAATTTCTCTTTAGATATTCAAGGCAAAATGCATTATAGCAATTAGGGAAAAACCTTGCAATTCCTTCTGCAATATCACAATGTCAATCTGATATGAAACTTAAGCAATACCACAATGTCAATCTGATATGAAACTTACCACCCTCTCCAGTTTCAATAATTGACACAAATGTTCAAGGAACCAACACCAATTGTCTTTATTCTCAACGTCAACAATGACAAAAGATAGAGGATAAAACCCTACAAACCAAATAGAAGCAAGCATATTAGATATACACATGCAAAGAGAATTCATTCATTGAACGACCAGAGAAAATTACAAATAGTGGCCAAATCAAGAGAAAATTTACACAGTGGCCAAATCAAGAGAAAATTTACACAGTGGCCAAATCCAAAGAAAATTCACACACATGATGGCCAAAATCCAGAGAAAATTCACATAGTGGCCAAATCTAGAAAAAACTCACACAGTGGCCAAATCTAGAGAAAATTCACAGTGTTAGAGAAAATTCACAAAATTTACAAAAAATGACTACAAACATAGAAAATTCACCTAGTTTCCATATCTATAGAAAATTCACATACTTAGAGAAAATTAGATATATTTCCAATTACCTTCATTTCCATCTTTCCCTGTCGCAGCAAGCATAACTCTTTTGTATCGTTCTTTCAAAAAAAGTTCCATCAAGGAACAATAATGGTCGACAATAGTTAAAACCAGCAATGCATGCATGAAAAGCCACAAACACTCTTTTGAAATGCTTGTTATCTTCAAAATCCAACTCAAAACGACTACTTGAATTATTCTTCCATGCCTCATCAAAATACTAACGTAATTAATCAAATGACAAACAAGAATCCCCATATGTATTACCTTTGCTTTTTCAACCCCCAACCAACCACAATTATAACTAATTGAGACCCCATATTTGTCTTTCATTTCTTTGATAACATCCATTGGACAAGTTAAAGGCTTCGCACTTGCCTCTTCAAGTATTAGCCCAGAAACTAAGCTGGAAGTCATCCGACCATGTTTACTAGTACAAACAGTCACACCACACGTATGGTCATTGTTTAAAGTTTTTATATAAAAGAACCCATTTGTTTTTTCAATTAAAGCATGTACACGCCACATACATCCCCTTGATTCCTTATATGCACATTCTGTTGTAACCCTTAGCTTGTCATTTTTAACATACATAAACTCGAAACCAACCTCAATAGCATATTTGCACAAAATAGTACTGAGCTCAACCACGCCACCTTCAAACTTTTGTCCAACACTTCTAATATTATTTCGCCAACCAGCTGACAATAACACATTTTCTTGGTGAGAACAAAACTTAGAAAGTGAATTCCTTTCAATAGCCACAAGCCTATCATATTCACCATGCGCAACATCTACCCAACTAGACCACACTTCATCCTCTTGATTAAAAGTACTGCACCTAACAACTGAAACATTAACTATATCAACACCGCGTGTACAAACAACCCTCAACATATTCAGAAAATTAATATTATTTTCGAATCATACAATTTGGATGCCCCACAATACAATATGAAATAGAGATTGTCTTAGGTTTCAAATTCTCTCATATTTTACACAAAATGCCAATCAATTCCTCAAAGTTCAATTCACATGAAACATTAATGATAATAGTATCATTCCTATATTTGCGCAATAACAACACTGCACTATCCATCTAAACTGGAAAAAAAAACATAAAAAATAACTTGTTCAATATAAAAACACATAAAAAGCACAACATAAAAAATAACATAAACATACAAACTTATACAAAAACAAAAACACACTTATATCAAAACACAAAATGCAAACTATTTATCAAAAACACAGTAAAAATCATAGAGAAAATCAGATTTTATCATAAAACATTCAATTAATTCCCCAATCCATATATCTAATTTAGAGGACATTAAAAATAAAAAATAACAAACTTATAATAACATGTCCAAATAAAATTATGATTTTTTCTGGATTATAATAACAAACTTATAATTTTCTCTGGATTACAAGTAAAAGTCTAGAGAAATTTATGAACTTATATTCACTTTTAAGATCACAAAAACAAAAACACATTAACACAAAAAGACAAAAATGTTGATTATTCCACACAACCATAGAGAAAATCATAGAAAAAATTTGTTATGCTCACAAAACATTCAATTGAGAAAATAAAAATAAAAAATAACAAGCTTATAATAACATGTCTATAAGAAATTATAATTTTCTCTGTGATTTTCATTGGACTATGAACTTACAATTTTCTCTGTGATTTTATCTGAATTAGAAACTTATAATATGTCCATATGAAATTATAATTTTCTTTATGATTTTCCTTGCATTATAAAAACAAACTTACAATTTTCCCTAGACTACCAAAAAAAAAAAAAAAAAAGTGCAGAAAAAACAAAGAACAAAACTTATCATTGATAAGCATGTTATCAAAATCAACTTCACTGAGCTAGACTCTCTTTGAAATTGATCAAAAAACAGAGAATGAAAAATGAATTCCAAAAATCAAAATCAACTCCATCGAGCTGTCCTATCTCTAAAATTGATCAATAACAGAGAATGAAAATCAACTCCAAAAATCAAAAACAACTTCACTTAGCTGGCCTTTCTCTCAAATTCATTAAAACTGAAAACAAAAACCTAATTTAAAATACATTTGAAAAACTAATATGAAATTGGAATCGTTACATATAAATCAAATCAAAAATCGAAATTCATATGGAATCTCTACCAAAACATACCTGATTCAACTCCACTGGAAATCAAAACAAAAACAATCAACACTACTGCAACACCTACACGATTGCAGCAATCTCCTACAAAATCTCAATCGTCAAATCCACTACAACACCTTCAAAATCTCTATGAAATCTCCTACAAAATTTCCATCGTTAAGTCTATCCCCACGAAATCTCTTACAAAACAATAATAAAATCTTCAATTTGCCAAAATCCAAAACAATGTAAGTTATAAAGAAGGGTAAATTAGGTATTTTAAAACCTAAAATAAAATTCCTTGGTATTAAAAAATATTATTGTGAACTTTTACTACTACTAAAAATTGAACAAAGATGTTAGACCAATTTTTTCTAAAAAAAAAAGTTGTCATTTTTATTTTATTTACTATAAATTTAAATTAATAATTGTTTTTTAAACAACTATCCATTCACATCAAACCCCCTCCTATTTTTTTTATGAAGAGAATGAATCTTTTTATCGAAGGATTAAAAAAAAATGGGTCCGGATCTGTCATTTTTATTTTATTTACTATAAATTTAAATTAATAATTGTTTTTTAAACAACTATCCGTTCACATCAAACCCCCTCCTATTTTTTTTATGAAGAGAATGAATCTTTTTTATCCCCGCCTCTTCAAATCTCTCCGTAGTGGTTTCTTTATTTATTTATTGTTCGTTAAGCTCTACACTCTCACAATTTCTCTGTAAAACCCTACCTACATTGTTTGTTCTTCAATTTCAATAGCCAGTGTTTACATTTTGTACATTCTATATATATAGAAAGAGAGAGAATATAGAGAGAGAGGAACCAACAGACCAGACCATGCCCCCTCGATCGGCAACTCGTAAGAAATCGACATGGAAATCTAAACAATCGGAGCTCGAATTGAGTCTGGCCGACCAGAGCAACACAATGCCGGAGTCGGAGAACAAAGGACAAGAAGCTCTATCTGCTGCGGTGAAGGACGAAGGCGGCGAACAGGTGGCGCCGCTGGTGATCGCCGGAGTGGAAATCAAGCAAGAACTTGGGGTTTTAGACTCAAATTATGCAGACAGGGCTGTAATGAGTACAGCAGTGAAAACGAAGGTTAAGGAGGAGGAGGATGGAGAAAGAATGGAGGGTGATCATGACAAGTTTGACAATGCAGCTGATGAAAAAGAAGTAAAGGGTGAACAGAAAGAAGGAATACATGTTGGTAATGGTTATAACTTTTTCTTAGCGTTTGATTGATTGTTCTTAAATTAGAGTTGAGCTGAATTCAATTGCATTATATTGTATAAGAGCATCTCCAATCCTTCACCAATTCCAGTGTTTTAAAAGGCTCTAGGTGTACCGAGGCGATAAGTTCTCCAATAGCCTAAGCGCGAGGCGAGGCGCTTGCATCACCAAATCTAAGAACAAGTAATAGAAGAAAAGTGGAATTATAAAATAGGCAAACTTTTCAACATTACAAATATATATATAATTTCAAAAATTATAACTATTTTTTATAATATTTAAACATAACATTTAATCTTCTAAAAATTAGAAATATAATATCCAACAAAAAAAGATATAAAGCATAATATTCAATCTTTTATCACTTTTTGCTCTCTTTTGACCACGTTTGGTCATTTTATATTGAAGAGTCTTGAATCCCTGTGGTTATGCCCACAAAAGGCACTTAATCAACCGTTGGAGTAGACAAATAGGTAAAGCCCATGAAGCCCACGCTTCGTGCCTTGAAAAGAAGCCCTTGCCCTCAGCACCTAAGCTATGCCTTGCATATTGCACCTCATCTTGACCTGTTCGAAGTGCAAGGCTACGCCTCATGTCGCCTCGCGCTTAGGCTCTCGCCTAAGAGCACCTTTTGAAACACTGACCAATTCTTTTATCAAGTTTTCAAATTTGATGAATAAAGAGCTAAAATGAGCTCCAATAATTTCATTCAACTTGTATCAAATAGGGATTGACAAAATTTTTACTAAATCAAGGATGAATCAAATCTTTTTCCAAATTCTCAACAGTCATTTTTTTACTCAAATTTAATGAAATTTTAAAAATAATAAGGATTTTAGATTATTTTCTTTCGTAAAACATGGATGAATTTTTTTATAGTAAAGATTGGAGTGTTCCATACCGGATCAAAACTTTTAACCAAATTTTCACTCAAATTTGATAAAAGAAGAGAGTAAGGATTGGAAATGCTCCACATACTACAAAGAATTAGGTCAAATAAAAAAAGAGATTAAGGGATGATGGTGTTTGTATATAAATTATCATCTATTTTGATGTTTTCCGAAAATTAAATTTCTTTTTTGAGTAAAGATAAATATATTATTATAGGATGATTGTCATCTTCTTTCCACTGAGGATTAATTTTGAAGATCCCTGTCAATTTAAAGATTTTAGTGGGCCTAGGAAATGTTATTGATAAGAAAAGATGATTCATGGATAATTTGACAAGGTCGTTCACCTAATTTCTCATGATAATAATAATGTTTTCAAGGCCTGAGGCTGTTAATTTTGCCTGAAAACTCTGTTAATCTCTTGCTGAGATTTCAGGTAGCACTAATCCCTTAAAATCTCAATTTGGAGGCACTATACTAGTCATGCAAAAGGGTGTCAAGAGGCAGCTTTTAAATTAAGAAAACAAATATGTAACAAAACAAATGGTTTGAAGTGTTCACGGATTTTTCTTTTGGTTCCAGATCATTGATTTGCAGTTAAGAGTGGGTAGTCTTTGCTCAGATACTTATAAATATGATTATATATATATAGATAAGATCTTTTATCCTTGGGGGAGAGTAAATTTTGACTACACTAAAGAAGTGAACCACATGAAGACTTGAGTCACTCAATTGCTGCTATCTTAACCACATTGTGTTTCCTTCTCCTTGCTCAATGGTTTCTACCTTGGGCTGCAATTTCACCCAGCAATTATTTGAATTCTTGGTTGAGTGAGGCTCTATAACTAGAATAAGAATGGATGAAAGCACTATCCATAATTTCTCCACATCTTCTGAATTCCCAATCTACTCTTTTCCCTCCCTTTGCTGAAGAACACTATATGAACGAATAAATTGGAGCCATTTCTTGGTGGTGGTACAAGACTTGAGCTGTTGAGTGTGAAAATGTGAATTTGAGGCTATGGATGTTATTTTGTGCAATTAAAGCCAGTCGTCAATTTTGTAACTAGTCCACCACTTCCAACACCCTAGATTGATTGAACTATTCTGCACAATGGCCTCTTCTAATGAATGAATGGAAACAACCCGTGCTTCGTTGTTATTGAATTTGCCACTGTCTGGAACTAAAGAAAAATGATGTTGAACCGTAACAGTTTCACAAATAAGAGCATGCATTGGCAATTGAGGCACCATTGGAGGGAACTCAGTCCATGGCTTTTTGAGTTGAGTCCTTTTGTTTTTTGCCTTCGCTCCACTTCTCTTAAATTGTGTTATCAGTAAAAGAGATGAGAAAGATAAAAATAGATGTTTTACAGTGTTTACAAGAAATGACATAATTATGGTGAATTCAGTAAAGGTGTTGTGATAACTTATCCACTGCACTCAGCTATTATTATATTGTTTATCCCAAGTTTGAGCACTTGACTATTGTAGCTAGTTTTTCGCGCTCTTCGGCGGGGTTTAGTCTCTTCGGATACGATTGCCCTACAGTTCGGACTCTCGTGGTTCTGAATCTGATTTCACAAGTGCAATATGAAACAGAAAAAAACGAATGTGAGTCCAAATTCGGCAAATCCTAGAAAATCCATTAATCATCAAGGATACCAAAAATGGATTGAATTGTTAGATTTCAGAGTCGCCACCTAATATTTTTTGAAAAATTAGGAAACCCGTGACTTGTGCGAAAGGCTACTTAGCTATCATAATCAAAGTTGTCTCGGCTTGGGAACTTAGGTATGAGAGGGGAATGTCATGAATTGAGCACCTCACTCACCTGATCAAAGATCGGCCTCTATTAATCATGATTTGAATTTTATAGACATTATATGCTCATGTTCTGATCATTAATATACTAACATTACTATGAAAAACAAACAAATATAGACCACGTCACTTAATTTGGAATGCTTTGATTTCATGCTTGCTTGAAAAGAGTTTTTGAATATGCGTAACTCCAAGAAAAAGCGAACCCATATGTACAATAATCAAAGTCATTCCAATCTAAGCAAAATAGCCTCTATCCATAGGCATTCATATTCAAATAAGCAAGTAGCTTCATGGTAGTATGCTTGACGTTGCAGCACAAACACACGTGATATGCTAAGTAAAAAATGCTCACTTAGTACTTAACCGGAGCAAGCCAAAGAAAAGAAGATAGTTAGAAAAAATGCATGATCCTAATATGCAAAGTGGCTAATGCATTACATACAAGAATGCAATTACTAGATTCGGCTACTAACATGATATGTGAATCAACTCAAAGCATAAGGTAGCACACATAATCAAGTAGGAAATGTTTAATGACATCAAGTGTGATAAGCTGAACCTTAATGCATGCAAAAATGGATACAAAGCATGAGAATAATAAAAGAAAATATGATGCTATATATAGCCCCAGTAAGCATGTAAGTAAAAGGGAGAAATAAATGGGGGTTAGAAGACATACATCGAGTGTTACAAATTTGCCCTTGTACAAGGGGGTCCGAATGTCCTAATTAACTAATTATTACAAACACAAATGAATTAACTAATTATTACAAATACGAATCTCAAAGCGACTAATCTAAAGGAATTGAATGAGCAGCGAGGAACCGCATATGCACAAGTAAGAACATCCTCTTGAAACCACTTTGCTTGTTGCCAAAAATTGCCTTGTTCGCAGTTAGAAAACAGTCCTGTTTTGGTCTCAAGATTTGCTTTGTTTTGCTGAAAAATCACCACTGCCGTACAAAATAATTGGCTGGCCGGCTCGGTTAGATGGTCGGCCGTACAGAAGAATGGCCGGCCGGCCATTGTTTCTGGAGAAAACCCTGCTGTAACAGAATTGGAATAGAGCAAAACAGAGTGTTTCCAAAAAATGTTCATCCTTCTTGCTCCCTCCTATCATGAAGATACTAAAGGAGAGAATAGGTTTGTCTCACAAATCATCAAACATCCCAAGGGTACTTAGATGATGATTAATGAAGCAACAAGACGGAATAATTAATAATAACAAAGCTAAGGCTAAGTCAAGAAAGAAGCATGCAAAGAGATGGCTGAAATCTACTATATCTCATGGAAAATAAGACTAAGTGAGTACTCAAATTTAGAGAGAATAGGTTTAGATGAAGCCAAGGTGAAGCTTATTAACAAGAGATTTGCATCATTGAGGAAAGCAATTAGAGACTCTTCTTCCTATTCATGGAACATGGATTAAAATCCATTTCCATGCTTCAAAAGGAACTAGAAGAGAGTTTCTAATACCTCCGATGCAAGAGCTCTCATATGGCTTCCAAGCAAAATCAAAATAAGACTAAGTAAATGAAAGCTATGAAAAGTTGTTTTAGGCTCATCTTCCTACTCATGGAATAAGGGTGAAACATCCCTTCCCATGCTTCAAAGATGGAAATAGAAGAGAGCTTACAACATCTTTTGAAGAAGATAACATACAATAATAAGTAAGATAGACAACTAGTTAATCAAACTTGTGTTGGGGTGGCTAAGCTTTAAACCCTCCCCATGATCACAAGGGTCCAAATATTCTATGAAAAGCTATGAAAGCCAAAGTAAAACAATCAACTCAAACGAAATGGTTGCTATATCCTAAACGCACCAAATCCATGAGGACTTACAACAACACAACTATAGTATTCAAAGCATAAATTAACACATTAAACAGTCCACAAACAACACAAAACAGTGCTGAAAATCAGTTTTAAGAGGTGGAAAATAAGAGTAAAAATGGAAGAAAGCCAAGAGGTTACGTCTAGCAAGCAAGCCTAAGGAAGAGTGGCTAACCCCTCTACTTTTTTGTAGCCTTAAATCACATATTTCAATCCCAAAATATTCTGAAAAACAGTATGTAAAGACAAGAAAAAGAGAGAAAAGGTGATGAAAAAGGTTCAAAGCTCACCTCTTGAAAGAGAGGAAGATCTTCTTAATTAACAAACTCCAATCTAAACACCCTCAAGTATTTGAAAAATAGTTTGAAACTTCAGCAAAAAGCTTCAAGTTTAAGCTTTCATGGTATATCTATAGTGTACCTATATTCCAGAGGGTAGAGAAGTGTGTTGAACAAGCTTCTAAGCTTTTGACAATTTTTTCTAACCCCAAACTCTAGGAGAGAGGAGGAGGGGGGGGTGTGTGTGTCTTATTTGTAGAATTTCAGCTTCTCACGTCGGAAATATTTCCAAAAAAGATAGCCGGTCCAAATCCCGTGCATGGGAGCAGCCTGCTGCTGTAGAAATATCTTCTGCGCTGAACATGGCCGACCGGCCAATAGGATGTACGGCCGGCCGGCCATCTGCTGGCCTGCTGTTCTGTGAGTGGTCAGGGAAGAAAAAAAGAAGGTTTTGGTCAAAATGGAATGCAAGGTTTAGGTTTTAAAGTTTGAAACCATATTCTTTTGCCGAAGATTCAAAAGATTGCACAACGTAACATTTCATCATCGAGTGTTCAGAATGAAGTGCTCAAGTCTTAAGGGCGGTCAAAATGGGGTGTTTACAGTTGCCCCTCTTTCACAAAGCTCAAAGTCATTTCATGACTTAAGTGAATGTCAAAACCTGAACACAATCCATTTGACAAGGCCGTAAGACTTAGACAAACAAATAAAATGGAGATGCAGCTGATTGAACCCGAGGGTTGCCTATGTATCCTTTTGCAAGGAATCAAACTAGCATAGTTCAAGGGCAGGATACAAATGGCATAGCCGATTTTTTTGTGTTTTTGAAAATTCATGATTGTGCAAGGCAATGCAATGAGTAATAAACATAGCAAGATGACAACCTATGAAACAAGCCTCAAGCTAAATCAAAACAGGTCCAACTGTGCCTCACATGGAAAGGAGTAAGCAAACGTCAATTCCAAACACGTTTCACGTGAAAGGAGAAAGGATGGTGTAACCAACAGGTGTACCCAACTATATTTCATACGGAGAAGGGGAATGTTTAAACCAGGTAAAATCAATATCCTAATGCGTTTCATGTGAAAGAAGGAAAGGATGATGCAACCAACAGGCATACCTAACCATATCTCATACGGAGAGGGGGAAGGTTTAAGTCAAACTACGCCTTGCGTAGAAAGGTGAAAAGATATAAGCCAAACTATGCTTTGCGTAGAAAGGGTGAACAGGTACAAACCAAACTACGTTTCACGTAAAGGGTGAAAAATGCAAGCCAAATTACGTCTCACGTAGAGAGGGTGAAAAGGTACAAGCCCAAACTATGTCTCACGCAGAGAGGGTGAAAAGGTACAAGCCCAAACTACATCTTAGGCAGAGAGGGTGAAAAGTGCACGCCAAACTACGTCTTACGTAGAGGGTGAAAAATGCAAGCCAAACTACGTCTCATGTAGAGAGGGTGAAAGATGCAAGCCAAACTACGTTTCACGTAGAGGGTGAAAAATGCAAGACAAACTTCACGTAGAGAGGGTGAACAAGCCTAGTGCATGCAATGCGAAAAGGGTGAATACAAGCCAAATCACACCGTCAGGTGATAAGGGTGGATACAATAAGATGAATAGGCACGATGCATATACATGCAATATAATTGCTGTGGTTGATGCGAAATACAATGCAATGCATGTTCCATGCAACATAATAGAAAATATAAACAAAAAGCGATGGCTTTGAAAACACTTCATGGGAGGAAGTCAAAGGTCCTCAAATGCTGAAAAGAGGGTAAAACCTGATTGAGGTCGAGGTTGAGGCACATTCACACTTCGAAGAAATGACGGGACCTAGGGTGGTGCATCTAGAATGGAATCTCGGAATTTTCTAAAGTTGAAGCAAACTCATATATTCCAATTTTCCATTTTTTAAGATGAATACAAGAACAACCATGCCCAATTTAGGCAAAATTCCCAGCAAAACACATCAAAACACACTTGAGCAGTCGGTCGGCCAAAAGATGAGCCGGCCATACAATATATTAGCCGCCCGGTCGTACAATATATTGGCCGCCCGGTCGGCCAATTGTATTGAGTTCGGGGCAGTTACGGGATTTCGCACCCGTGGCTCATTAAAACACGGTTTTGGCTCACTCTTTCACACATATGGTTCGAAAAACTCCTCTCTTTCTCTCTAGGCTCTCTCTCTCTCTAGATTTTCACTCTACTTGCTTTACCCAACAACCCTCGCAAACTTTTTTCGTGAAACCCTTTTGGCTCTCTACATTTTGAACCAATTGTATTTTGATTTGGTCGAGTTTTTGGGTTTCTCATCGTTTTTGACTTGTTTCTCACGGGTTCTCTTGGTTTTCGTGTACTCACTCTCAAGTTCACTTTTTTCCCTTATTTTCTCTCTCCTAGAGTTTGGTTTTTTAGGATTTTCACCTATTTCTCTCATTTCTCTTGCTTTTCTCTCACCACCCATTATATTCTCCGTGGCTGATGATGTTCCACATGATGCCCCTTCTGAGGTACCTATTCCTCTGCCCGCCGCAGGTGTAGAGGACCCGATGCTAGAGGAGGTAGACGTCGCGGTAGGGGATATTGCTGCAGACATTGCTACGGAGGAGATTTATCCACCTGAGCCTGAGCCTGAGCCTGAGCCTGAGTTGCCATCGTTGAGGGTGAGACCATTTGACTCGGCTACTTACCGCCCACGCACTCATGTGATGGTCCCCGGTGGCATGTTGAGATTTGATGATTTCGAGCAGGGCGCGCCAGAGGACTTTCTCTTACGAGAGCGCACATCGCATCTCTCCCACGATGCTTCTGAGGTAAGAACCTTTATCCCGTTATGTACTTTGCTTTGACATTCATTACAGTCTTTCATTTGACCATGTATTTAACAAATTCTTCTTTCACCACAGGCTGATGCTTATGCCTGGAGAGGTTACGGAGCTGTGACAGCGAGGGATTGGTATCAGGAGCTCCCTGCTAGAGTCCGGGAGATGGTAGATGAGGCAGGCTTCGGCTTATTTTGCTCCGGGCTCTCACGGCTACAGGCGAGCCGACCCTTACTTGGCGCCTTGGTGGAGAGGTGGTGGGACACCACCAACTCTTTCCACTTCTCCTCTACAGGGGAGATGACGATGACTCCCTATGATTTCTCGATGATCACAGGGCTACGAGTAGGGGGTGATCCGATCCCCTTTGATCTAGACATGGGCCAGTGGCGGGCCGCTTGGGTCTATCTTCTTGGAGCACACCCTCCGTTGGCCAAGCCATCTATGGTGAGATACAGTTGGTTCTACGACCACTTCCACGGGAGTCAGCCAGAGACTCAGGAGCAGGTGGAGCAGTATACCCGGGGATTTTTGATCTACCTTCTCGGCACCACCTTGTTTGCGAACAGGTGGAACACTGTTGGTTTATATCTTCTTAGTGCTTTAGTGGTGTTGCCACGGGTTCGCGACTACGACTGGGGTGGTGCTGGCCTTGCCACCTTGTACATTTATATGAGCTCCGGTTCCCGCAAGAAAGGGAACATGGTTGGCGGCTACTGGAGAGCTTGGGATGTATGTCCTGCATTTTCATTTTCAATTTCTGTTGTAATTTATGCTTTCGGCTTTGCATTTTCTGCCTTTATTTCTATTTCTACCTATCGACTCACAAACTGTTCTCTTCTCGCAGCTTTGGGTCTATGCTTACTTTCCCACTCTTGCCCCGGTTCCGAGAGATGAGGTGGCAGCAGTTGTGCCTCACTCGAGGCTGTACGATGGTAAGTGCTACCCTCGTCGCCGCAGCGTCACCACATTTGCCTACTACCGCCGCTTTTTTGACATAGTGACGGCCCGCGAGGTAATCTGAAACTCAGACCCACTTCTATTCCATCTCTATTGCTTTAGCCCATACTTTCATAACTGACTTCAACTATGAATCCTCTGTTTGCAGGTTACTTGGCAGCCGTGGGTAGTCATGCCTGCCGGGACGAGGGATGATTATGTTGGCTCTTGGAATACCTCCCGGTTAAGGATTCTGTTGGAGGGTCCTTTCTGCAGAACCTGGTATTTAGGGGAGCGCTTTGTACGTCAGACTCTGGGCCTTGCTGACCCCATTGTTCTTGCTCCTCCTCCTCTATCTATGAGGACCGCCGATAGTCTTCCTGCCGAGGCTATCGTGACATTCATGGTAGGGCAGGACGGTGATCTGCACCGTGGAGATGGGGAGTACACTGCATTTATCCGGACCCACCTTATGCCGCCTCTGACCAGAGTTCGCACGGGTGGCGCTGCTGACGTACCCCCTGCTAGAGGTGCTATTCCAATGGCTGAGCCAGAGGTTGGAGGCGCTGCCCCTGCAGTTCATGTGGCCGGTCTTCCTGCAATCCCGACTGCGATCACTTATTGGCGGCCGAATGGGACAGCCCACCAGATTCCACTCGAGCAGCCAGAGGAGCGTGAGTATGTTCGGGACCTTGATGTCCAGCAGGTATGCACTTTGTCTTATAGTTTTGTATTTCATATTCCCTTTTCTCTATATGCTGATGCTCAGACTCACTCGTAGGTACCAGTTGGCTACGTGGATGGCCTCCTCGAGCTAGTTGACTCCTTGGTCCACATGGTACGGAGGAGAGAGGCATTACTTGTTTACCACGGTCATCAGGTATCTCATTCGACGTTGCTTTCTTAATTGACATGCCCTACTTCCATTTTGCCATACTCATACTGTTTCTATGCCAAACTGCTCTGATATTCTGTTTCTTGCAAACTCTTTTCAGCCTCTGTTTACACCAGTGGCACCTATGGCACCACCTCCAGCTACGGGAAGGAGAGACAGGCGGGCACCCATATGTGGCGGGGGTGAGGGCAGAGGTAGAGGTAGGGACAGAGGCGCCCGGAGTCGGAGTTGGAGTAGAGATAGCAAGTCCCGGGTGCAGGGGGCTTCCTTATCCTCAGAGAGGACCTTGACTGACGAGGATACTAAGACCAGGGATACCAAGGAGATTGCGAGTGAGCATTCTGAGTCTGAGGACGGAGACGATGATTCTGGCTTAGAGTCACATTCTTCTGGTGATAGCGGTGCCGACTGTGATAGTGATCTTGAGTTCCGTCCTCCAAAGAGAACGAAGAGGGCTTCTTGACGCACCTGACTTGGCGGACACTGATCTCTGAACTCCTCTTTTTCTTTTCTTTTGCTTTGTAGTACAGAACTTATGTAGCTTTAGATAGGTCTTTCACTTTTTTGCTTATTGAAAACTTGTATTTTCTTTTGTAAAAAACTATGATCGAGGTTGGACCCTGCAGTTTATGAAAGAAAGAAACTGTTTTGCATAGCATCTTGAGAATGACACAACACTTTGCACAAAAAATAACTTATTTATGAAATTGAAACTGAGAATGATCGTATTTGAGTGAGTTCTTAATCGGATATTGAGCTTACAATTGACCAAAATACAAAAAACGACTTAACAAAGGAGAAACGAAGACATAAAACAAACAGGACAAACATAATACTGCTGCCAAATTGTTTGGTCGGCACAGTTCGTCGGCCGGCAATGAAATGTACAACCAATTGATGAAATGGCCGGCCGGCTAAGAAATGCGATTAGACAGCTAGCAACAACTGTTAGCCACTCACACACCCTTATCCCCTATAAAAGTCTCCTCTTGCTGCTTTTTATGATAGAACTTCACTTTTCTGATAGTTTTCTCTAAAAATGAAGATTTTCCTTGTTGATAGGCTCAAAGATTGGATGACCACTTTGGATGGCACGGAAAAGGTGAATTTCAACGGTTTTAGCATAAACGCTCTTTTGTCCTTGAGCCACACTCCACTTTGTTTTTTGTTTCTCCACGTTGCTGCCCGCTGTTGGGACCTGTTTACTCATGTATTTTGCTTTAGATCGCAAGAGATGTGTCCTACTCTTGAGGAGTTTCAAGCGCTAATGGAGTCTCGTCGTAATGAAGAGATTATGCCTTAATCCCTTTTTGGCCATGTACGGGCTTTTGAACGGATGTGTGGCCTCTCTTTCAATGAGGCTAAATCTTTGGCTCATGATGGAGAGTTGGACATTCCTGGCTTGATTCACCGTTTCGCTGATATTGGGAATAGGCGTGATCTTCTTTGGCAAGGTTGTCGCCAACACGCTCTTTGCATATGCTTGCTTGCCTATTATCTTCTTGCCCCTAGTGGCAGCGGAGTCAGTATTCGATTGATCAAAGTGGCTCAACGCCTTAAGGAGGGCCGAAGCTATCTAGGCTTGGCACTAGCTGAAACCTTAATAGGTTTGGATGCTTTCCACAGGCAAGAGACTTCTCGGTTTGCAGGGAGTCCACTGCTTCTCTAGGTATTGTTTCCCACCCTTTCTCACTTTTGATTTCTCACATCAATTTGACACTCAATCTCTATTTTCTCTCAAAAGCCCTTTCCTTACTTTTTTCCTTAACACATATCTCTCTATTCTTTAATCTCTCATATTATTTTATCTCTTTCCCGGTGTGGCTGATGAATGAGCTGAAAGTTGTTGCCCTGAGTACTCAGCTAGATCCTACTTTCACTCATAGCTAGTGAGCTTTCCCACAGAGGGGTTATAGTGCGATTGGATGTGCAGCAGATCCGCAACTGACATCGCTTGGCGATGCCCTTGGCTTAACTTAACTGAGATGAGTTACAACATGTCCTGCCAACTGGGTATACAATTGATCGGCCTTACACACTGTGTTTTCTACTTCCCATTCCGGTTCAGATGCCAGTTCTGGTGTTAGTAGACTTGTCCAGATGAGGGGGTTGGATATCCATTACCATTTCCAGTCCGTGCTTCACACTTGGCTCGATATCTTGCTACTTGGAGGATGAGAGAGCTTTTGGCCCCTACTGCTAGCTTTAGTTGTGCCTTTTCTGGTGAGTGTTTGGCTTAGCTTGAGGATGAGACACGGGTTGGGCCATCCTTGTCGGCAGAAACTTCTGAGAGTGCGGGCAAGAGGCAGATGACCACTACTTGACTTAATTGTGCTCCTAGTTTATTTCTTTGACTTTTCTTTTCAAGTTTTATGATGTAAAAACAACTTGGATTTAACTTGAGGATTTGATGGTGCACTTGTTTTGAAATTATGTAATTAAAGTTGCGAGTATTGAAAATTTTCCTTTTTGGTCCAAAGAATGGTCTGTTTTGCAAAAAAAGTGAAATTTTGAGAAAATCAACCTCATTAAAACCTTTCAAAACAAATTTTTGCAAGCGGTCATTACTTGACACATATGGAATCAATCCTCAAGACGTACAACCCCGAATCAAGAGGATCATAACTGCCCACAATTGCGTTCACCTTCACTATTGTTTTGTCCCTTGCTTCATCTTGCAATTGGCCCTTCTGCCCAATGGAGGTCAAACAATCAAGCCAACAGATGGTGAGATGGACCGATCAAACAATGGATAAGACAGTTGAGTTGAAAATGATTAGGGCCGAACTTCGAGATGAAGTTGCCTACGTATCCCGAAGATGGGAATCAGGCCTTACGTAGTTCTTGGTTAAGGTTCACTTAGGTGTCTCTCATTTTGTGCTCTAGCTTTTGTCAAAGCCACCCTTTCGAGTTTTCAATCTTGCGTGCTTTATTTTCATTTATTTCCAATTTTTCACACTAACTTTTGCCTAGGTCGCCTTTCGGGTTTTCGGCCTAGCGAGCCTCTCAAAGATAGTACTTTTTCAACTTGTCCATATTGATCGGTTGCGAGAATTCCAAGCCATCTAAATCCATGAAAATGATTGCTCTTCCTAACCAAATGGATTTGATGATGTAGGGATCGATCCAATTGGATCAGAACTTGCCCCTAGGGTCATGGATAGGAGTTCGATTGTCTTTGAGCACCATATCTCACTCCTTAAGATTTTTGGAATTGACTTTCTTGTTGAAGGCCCTAGCAATTCTGCGCTGATATCCCTAGATGTGATACAAAGCCTTCAACCTCCTTTTATCAAACAACATCAACTCTTCGAACCTATTCTGCTGCCAATCTGCCTCTGCTATCTGACACTCAAACTTGATTCTCAGCAACGGTACTTCGATTTCGATCGGCAAAACAGCTTCCATCCCATATACCAAAGAGTAGGGGGATGCTCCTGTAGAAGTTCGAATTGATGTTCTATAACCCCAAAGTGCAAAAGGCAGTTTGTTTGGCCAATCCTTGTAGGTTTTCACAGTCTTCCGCAGAATATTCTTGATGTTCTTGTTTGCGGCTTCAACAACTCCATTGGTCTGTTGCCTTGCGAAAAGCCACGTTGTACTTCTCAAGTAAATCTACCACCTCCTTTTTGAAGTGTGAGCCATTGTCTAATATTATTTCATTCGGCATCCCATATCTACTGATGATGTTATTCCTAATGAACTTGGCCACATACAAAGCTTTCAACCCAGAATACGACTGCTTCTCTACCCATTTGGTAAAGTAGTCGATTGCCACTAAAATAAACTCATGTCCATTCGAGCCCTTCGGCGAGACTGCTCTGATGACGTCTATTCCCCAGACTGAGAAAGGCCATGGTGAAGTCATATTGTAGAGCTTTGACGGCAAAACATTCATGCGATTATCATGGATTTGACATTTATGACATCGCCGAACAAAGTTGATACATTCGTCCTCCATGGTTGATCAATAGTAACCTTGCGTGAGGATCTTCCTGGCTAACATCACACCATTCATGTGTACTCCACACTCTCCCCCATGAATGGCTTCCATAAGATACTTCGACTCTTCCTCTTCCATACAGAGTTTGTGCATTCCCAGATGCCCTCTTTTGTACAACTTACTTAAGCATATGATGAATTGAACGGCTAGACGCCGTATTCCCCTTTTATCCTTGGCATTTGCCTCTTGTAGACACATGTCCTTCTCCAGAAAGTTCCAAATGTCCTAATACTAGGGATTCTTGTCTTGAACCTCGTCTATTGCGGCTATTGTTTCGTAAGTGGGTGCATACTTTTGTTCAATGATAATCGGACGCATCTTAACCCCAATCGGTATGTCTACCATAGAGGATAGAGTTGCCAGTGCATCAGCAAACTGATTGTTCTCTCTTAACAACTGCGTAAATGTTAGTTTTTCAAATCTTGGAATCAGAACGTCCAGGGTTTGATGAAAAACTTTCATTTTCTTTTCTTTGACTTTTCAATCTCCATTGGCTTGAGAAACAACCAGGTTCGAATCTCCGATGACATCCAACCTTATTGCCCCTAATTCCAGGGTAGTTTCTAATCCAACAATACACGCATCATACTTTGTTTCGTTGTTGAATACTTTGAATTGGAGTTTGAAAGCTAAGGGTCTATGGAATCATCGGGCACTACAAGCAACACGCCTATTCCATAACCATATTGGTTAGCCACTCCATCAAAATACATTTTCCACGCCTCTTCTTCTACTTGCAAGATCTCCTCATCTGGGAATAGGTACCCTACTTCTTCCTCTCCCTTTACTGGGTGGCCTGCCAGAAATTCCGCTACAGCTCTTTCTTTGACTGACTTACGAGTGACACACTTGAAGTTGAATTCGGAGAAAAGAAGCAACCAACGAGGTAGCCTACCCGTAAGTGCCGGTTTCTCAAAGAGATATTTAATGGGATCCAATCTCGAAACCAGAATTACAAAATGGGCTAACAGGTAGTGTTTCAACTTTCTAGTGGCCCAAACCAAACCAAAGCTAAGTAAGCCTTCTCTAGAGGAGTGTAATGGGTCTCGTAATCCAACATCTTTTTACTCAGATAGTAAATGACCTTTTTCCGCCTTAGCTTCTGATTCTTGTAGCATGCATCCCATAGCATGGTTTTAAAAACCGGACCAGCAGGTTCAACCGGTTGAACCGCCGACCGGTTCATCCAGTTGAACCGCTGACCGGTCGAGGTTTCGGTCCGGATATACCCGCTGAACCAGTCATAGTGGAAAACCGGCCTATTTTGAAAGAACCGGAAAAACCGGCGGTCGAACCGCCGAACCGGTTCCGGTTCACCGGGTTGATAAAACGAGTTTTTTGTTTTTTTTCTCTTTTGATTTTTTGTTATTCTTTCTTTCTTATTATATATATATATATCTTATATATTATATATATATAATAAAAATTTAATTGGAAACTCTCTTTTAAGGGTCTCCTCTTGTGAGGAATCCCATTGAGAGCTTGAAATTATTGTGAAAGCCTCTATCTATTTATAAGAAAAAAATTCTTCCAAAAAAACTCAAGAAATCTATTGGGATTCAATCAAATTTATTGGAGGGAAACTTAAAATTTGATATCCCTCCAAAAATTTTGCTCTTCTTTCAATCAAAGTGTTTGAATTAAAATCATATGGAAGGAATATTAAATATTTAAATTCTTCTTCCAAAATGTTTTACACATTGTTTGTATCTGGATGGTTTATGTATATATGTTGTACATGTTGGTTATGCCCTGCTGCATTTCGATTGATGGTGTTATACCTTGAGCTGAGAATCAGAGGTACCGTGACCTTCCAGCTAGCGCCTGAAGAACTGAATGCGCTGAGAATCTAAGGTACCATACCCTTCCAGCTAGCGCCTGGTAAACTGGCATTCACCGGTCCGGTTTTTAAAACATTGATTATATAGATATAAATATGTAGATAAGATCTTTTATCCTTTGGGGAGAGTAAATTTTGACTACACTAAAGTAGAAGTGAACCACATGAAGACTTGAGTCACTCAATTGCTGCTATCTTAACCTCATTGTGTTTCCTTCTCCTTGCTCAATGGTTTCTACCTTGGGCTGCAATTTCACCCAGTAATTATTTGAATTCTTGGTTGAGTGAGGCTCTATAACTAGAATAAGAATGGATGAAAGCACCATCCATAATTTCTCCACATCTTCTGAATTCCCGATCTACTCTTTTCCCTCCCTTTGCTGAAGAACACTATATGAATGAATAAATTGGAGCCATTTCTTGGTGGTGGTACAAGACTTGGGCTGTTGAGTGTGAAAATGTGAATTTGAGGCTATGGATGTTATTTTGTGCAATTAAAGCCAGTCGTCAGTTTTGTTACTAGTCCACCACTTCCAATACCCTAGATTGATTGAACAATTCTGCACAATGGCCTCTTCTAATGAATGGATGGAAACAACCTGTGCTTCGTTGTTATTGAATTTGCCACTGTCTGGAACTAAAGAAAAATAATGATGAACCGTCACAGTTTCACAAATAAGAGCATGCATTGGCAATTGAGGCACCATTGGGGGGAACTCAGTCCATGGCTTTTTGAGTTGAGTCCTTTTGTTTTTTGCCTTCACTCCACTTCTCTTAAATTGTGTTATCAGTAAAGAGAGATGAGAAAGATAAAAATATATTTTTTACAGTGTTTACAAGAAATGACATAATTATGGTGAATTCAATAAAGGTGTTGTGATAACTTACCCTCTGCACTCAGCTATTATTATATTGTTTATCCCAAGTTTGAGCACCTGACTATGTTTCTCAGACTTATTAGGTGCCCATTCTAATCCATTCTAATCCTATCTGTTTAACTTCATGTGGTTTCTCTAATGTGTATCCACGTTGGTCATTCTTTTCCCTATTGATGCTGTTTTTCTCATTTCTATTTTGAACTACTTGTGTATCTGTATGCAATTCCTTGGTGTTACTATGATCAGGGTCATCAGTTGACAATAGGTAATTGTTATAGTTGCAGAACAGAACTTATCTGAAGAAGGAACTGCTGCTGCTCAAATTGATGATGCTGAGGCATTTGTAGACAATGACAGTTTTCCTGTTCTCAATCAGGGTAGTGATGGGCAAGAAGGAGGTGAGGTGGGTGGAAAGGATGAGGAAGATATCGGGGACAGTGAAGAAGATAATGTGGTAGATAATGAACATGAGGAACACCCTGCTGAATTTATCAATAATCACATCAATGACAGGAAGAAAAAAAAGGATTTCGAAATTTTTATTGGAAGACCGGATAAAGGGGCCATTGAGGACGATCTGATTGAAGTGTTTCGAAAGTTTGGGGAAATAAAAGCCGCTAGGATAGTAAGGAATCCAACTACAAATAAGAGTAGAGGATTTGCCTTTATTCAATACGTGACTGTTGAGCAAGCCAAGAATGCTCTTTCTGCATTGAACGAAGGGATCCAGGTTTTATATATTGACTTTTAATATGAAATTTTCTTTGCAAAGGAAATATAAAAGCATAATTTTCAAAATGTTAATTTAAGATGGCAATAATGTGGTCTTTTCTTCTGGCAAGGTGAGAGGCAAACACGTCATAATATCAGCAAGCCAGGATAATGACTCTTTATATGGGCAACATCTGCAAATTATGGACAAAAGAGCGTGTAAGCTTTTAATACACATCCTTGCATTGTTACTGAAGGTCATCCTTGCATTGATGATCTTACATCGTTTGTTTCTTTCTCTCTAAAGGTACTGGGAACATTGGAAAGCTATGGAATTGAAAATATTGAAGAAATATATTAGCCAGATAATCCTCAAAAAGAAGGGAAGATCAAAGGTTTTGCTCTTTTGGAGTTCAGCACCCACTCGGATGCAATGGCAGCATTTCAAAGACTAAGGAAGCCAGATGCTGTCTTTGGTTGTGATAGAAGTGCTAAGGTTGCTTTTGCACAAACCCCAATGCACCCAAATCAAGAAATTCTGTGTCAGGTTAGAAATCTGAATCCTGCTAGTGTTTGCGGAAAGTCATAAATT